GTGGAAGTCCTAATGGAACATTTGAAATGTGACAATGAGACCGTGCAAGCAGCGGCTGCAGTGGCATTAGGCTATATCTCGTTCAATCGTACAGCTCATCGATTGATGCTGATGGCGTGTCGAGCTGAACCTCAGTTGTATCAATTACTCATGGATAATCTTGGCAAGGATTCTAAAATATGTATTGATTTTACCGAGGAGTTTCGAAGACAAAAGTGTATTGGCCTGCCATCACAAAGGTCAGTGACGTCCTGTAATTAATTTAGATGTTCATGCAGCAACAATCTTATATTGATACAGCAATGCAAGTAGCACGATATTCTTCTTTTGTCGTCTATGAATTGTATTTGTAATCTGATTCGTCTCTTGATGTTTCAATGTCAATCATTGCTATTGTGATTAGAATTTCACAATATTAGAATTAATCACAATAATCCACTGATTCCTCTTTAAATATTTTTTTTTCATAGCCTTGAAATCAATGGTGGACCACCAGTGATACCTCCCAGACCAGAAACATCACTTTCAAGAAGTGAGTACTATCACAAAAATTACTGTCATGACATGGCTGGCTGTCTGTCTGATTGTTTTTATGAATGTGTACAAATATTGTTACACAACAAGAAGCCAAAATGTCATGGAAATAGTCAAAATTTACATTTTTACACTGGTCAAAATATTTCTTTATATGAAAACGTTGTAAATTATTATAAAAAATTAGAAGAATATTTTGAAGGTGCTGTTTATATGTTTCTAGCCAGCTGTCTAGGTGATGTTTATATGTTCATAGCCATATTACCGGTACTCTAGGTTCTGTTTTACATGTGTATAGCATATACTTATCAGACTATTTCCTATGTATATTCATTTGTTAGCACATAGACCATTTAAGGCTCAGTGTTAGATGCATTAAAAGTAAAAGCTGATAATAAGTGATTGTCAACCAGAGTGTTTATTGGCACTTTATATTTGATTCTATCAATAGTGGGAATACGTAGGAGACCCAAGACATCAATGAGTATACAAGAAAGGAACATCCATAGAGAAGAATTAAACAGAGCCCAGTCAGCGCCAGCTTTGACTCAAGCGCAGCGAGCAGTATCAGCGCGATCCATATTAGCAAAACACAGCAGTAGATATGCACAACAGAGTAACATGCCGTCGTTAAACATGGATGGTAAGAGAGTGATTCACAGAAAACATGCAGAGAGTAAACCACTGTGGAATGAAATTTAATTGTATCATAGTATTCTGTTCTTTGCATATAAATTATAATTATATATAATTTAATTATAAATTATAATTATGCAATGTTTAAAAATCATGTGATCCAGCTTGCATACCATTAGGGCTTTTGAAATTAATAGAATGTGATTTCACATTGCGGCTAAAACTTATTATATAATTCCTTGATTGTAAAAAGATTAGTTTCTATAAAAAATATTGTGTTTTTGTTTGTCCTCATGGCATGCACACATTTTTTAATGTCATTTTAAACAATTTAGAGACATTAAATTATTAAACGATTGAAGAGCTCTTCATATTTCCTTATCCATAAGCCAAATTTTATGTTTTCATCTTCTTTTTTTTTTTGAGATTGACTGCATTACAGTGCACGTGTGCAGACTATGGTAGTTGGGTCTCACATTTTTCTAAATTTTTACAACCACAAATACTGGTGACTTTAAATTTTGGTTAAGAATATTTTTTCTGTAAAAGTTGAAACATTAATTGTCACCATGTAAGTTGAAGTTAGATATGGAAATATAATTAATTGTAAATATTTTTTTTTTGTAAATAAGAGAAGTAACTGTAACATATTCATGTTAGAGAACATATTATATGTACATTTGAGATTCTTTGTTTATTTTATATAATATAGTTTTGACATGTTGTGCCAGTTTGTCTGATGGTGCTTTTTTGTTTTTATTTTTTGTTTTTATTTTTTGTTCGCATATAAATTTGCATCAATGTTTCAATAGTAACTACAGTAACATGCATCAAAAAGAAAGTAATGTACCGATATTTGGTGATATAATATATATTGATAGAATCAAGACTTATTTTCAATTTTACTTACAAAGAATCAAAACTTGAAGATTTTTAACTGTCATGTAGATTCCAAAATTAAATTATTCTAATTATTGAAAGCAGTTGATATGTTAGGTCCACTAGAACCAGTGTGAATGGGCACCATAATTTTATACTGTTAGTAACATTAATTTATTAAGACATTATTAAATTTGCTATTTTCACTGATAAGTGGAATATGTTAAATTATTAAAATTTATTATTTCACTGGTATTTCAAAATAATGAAATTTAAATCCTAGCAAATTTAATGCTTTGTAATTCTGTATATATGATTACAATGTAATTTAAAATAAGGTGTCAGTATAGGGTGGTGGTCATGACATGTTTATTTCAGAACCAAAGAATAATGTTTTCAAATTGTAGCTAGTTCTACTCATTTTGGAGTACTGGTATCCAATGCCCAAACATGCCATGGATACTGTAAATTGCTTTAAATTAGTAAAAATTGTGAAATTTGTAGCAGCGAACATTTTTTCAACATTCTGTCTTCACGAATGCAATAAATTCATCAACCTGTGTCAATTTCCAGTGGCGAAATTAAACTGTTTACAGTACATTTGATTGATTCAATTACGACGATTATATTGTATATATTAGACATGTCACTTTCAAAGTTTAAGAATGAGACAATGCTAGACAGGCAGGTCTTTTGTTAGTGGTAAGCTGTCTATTTTATAAATAATTATCACTATCTGTGTACATATTAAGTACATTATTATGTAATTTTTATGTTTTGGGGAGAGTGTAAATTTTATTTGGGGCTAAATTTTGGAAATAATGTTAAAACAATTGGTCACATAATTGTACAAATCACTGTTGTAAATATTTTGAAACTTGGATTGAAGAAAACCTGATTGGTAAAAGTTATTTTCATGTGTGAAAAATTTGCCTTTTTATTAAGACATAACTCTGTGTCAGTGATGCAAAGCTTTAGTGTTGGCGAAATAAATGAATTTTTGCACCTCTTAGTTGGTCCAATTATCATTACCACTAGATTTGATCAAAACAAGGCCAGTGAAGATTGAGAATCAGTATTAGCAGTTCCAGTGCCCTGATGTCTTGTTTATTCATACAATATTTTTGCAGAATAGAAAATGAGAACCTTGCATTACCTCTGAATGTAGGTGGTTCACACCTGAACCATTCATGCTGCAATCAAACTATAACAAGAGAATGATGTTTCAGTCGATATCACTTAATCATACATAGATAGACCTGAATGATACAAATAAAATTTTAATTCAACTCTTTAAACCTCACATGATTGCTACATCTACTATTTGATCTGGTATACGGTACACATCTTTCGTGAGCCATATTAAAATACGATACAGCAATTTTTTGTTTTTTGGAAAGTGCTCTTTAGTGTTTGATCTGATTTTGAACATTTTGTTATTTCAATCCACATTAACAGAATACTGCTTTTTTGTGTGTGATTCTGATCACAGGTAAAGTTCTCTAGAAACTTGACACCCATATCTCAATAACATTTCTTCCAGAACTGTATACTTGGTACTGTAATTTGCTCGGCTTTTACCTGATCAGAAATGTCTTCTCCCAGGGGGTACCTGTTATTAATGAGAATGGAAATCATTTAATAAATTTGTCTATCAAACATAACAGAATCTGGTATTCTGTAAAGCAAAGTATCATACACTCCCAGGAACAAAAACGGAGGTTGACCTAAATGTTGTAGTTTTATTTCAAAGTCAGCAAATATTTTTTGATCGACAATCAATATATAAAAATTGAGTCATAGTCCAAATGACCATGATCAGCCCATTGTTATCAAATTCCCCCCAAAAAATGAACTGACAATACACATGTGTAATACTGTAAATGCATTAATTGTTAACTGAGTTTTAATTCTCGTAAAATCCACTAGATTAAATATGAATAGTGAAATTAAATTGCAGTGAAAATTAATGTCTTGAACAAAATGAATCCAGGTACCGTCACAGACAGACGTACTGGAACCAAATTAATATTCCCAGACTGAATTTCTGGTATAATAACTTACTTTGGTTCATATCTGATATTCTGTACTTCATTTGCAATACCAATGTTACGTTTTAGTCGCTCCATTCCAGTCCATGCAATCATAGTACCATTATCTGTACACAGCTTTGGTGGTGGACACAAGAATCTATAACCATATTCATTACAAACATACTGCATAGCATTTCGTATGTATCCATTGCTGGCGACGCCACCGGACAGAACCTGGAATAGAGTAGCCAATATTTATTTATCAAAATCAAAATTCCCACTGAGGAAAATTCTCCCAAAATTTCACTACAGTCATGGAAAATTTGAAGACGACATTTTTACTGTTTTTTACGTTAAGAGGTTGCAGTGACTTGACATTTAGTTCTTGAAGATGCCTTGTTTAATTATCAAATATAAAAAAATTGGGGAAACTAAAATTCCATAATTGACAAAATTAGTATGTATTACAAGGATAATATCAAACCCAAAAATTAATTGTATACATTCTTTCAATAACAACTAAATATAGGTCTTGCATCAAAACTTACCATGGTTTGGTGACAGGTATCAATTAAGCTATTCTCTTTGCAGTAAATCATGGCTCTGGCTATTTTTTTCACCAATTGATGAGTGACTTTAAACTGAAATGCTGCTGCAATGTCATTAATGTTACTAAGCTGAGCTGCTTGGACATCTGGAAGTGGAAATATTCAAAGATCAATATCTGATCAATCAATGATAAAAGTCCACAACCAATAGTTAATTCACAGTCCCTACAAATAGACCATTTGCAGTTTCAATGACTCATATTTTGTCAGAGTAAGTCATTATTGACCACCATTTTTGTTCATCCTAGTTATTATCACTAATATTATCCTTCACACTAAAACTTAACAGATAAATGTTAGATTTAAATACCGCAAAATTCAGAAGTACCATACTTGCTCTATTAGAAGTGCATGTTAAATAGAATCACATATAAAACCTGCAGAATGATTTTATCGTCAGAATGGCACAGTTTCGTAAAAATTCGGTGCACAAATCTGTTCATGAATTTGACCATGTAATTGACCATGTAATTGACCATGGTAGAATACATAGATCTGATGGGCAAAGTGCCTGCAAATCTTAAACCCTATCAGAGCTTTTAACATATGAAGTAAAATTTGTGTGTCCTCCAATATGTTAACGTTTCATTCCCAAGGGACCTACCAGTAAGTACCCAAGTTTTGTCGTACTTGTATGCATGTTGGCAGCATTCAGCTTTGTAAACAAATCCAGTTGCCATTACATGGTGAGGATTTTGTTTTCTATATCACAAACCTTGAATTTTCTCTTCCTTGCTGATAAACTGGCTCACCATGGACTTAACACCGGAGAATGAAAATGTACAGTCCTTTGACTGTAAGTTTGGTGTGTAAGCTTTCATTACTTCTCTGTCTCCAGTCTGAGCAAGGTGTTCTATTGCCTGCCCACCACTCATACCAATGCACTGTGGGTGTTCATTCAGTTTCAGTTTTCGTGCTATCTAAAAAATCATGATACAATTAAACTGTCAATGCAAACCCCAACCCCTGTCGGCAGTCCTCGGGCCTAATGTAATTGTGTATTAATATTAAGTACGGCCGACTGTCGTCAGTCCTCGGGCCTAATGTAATTGTGTATTAATATTAAGTACGGCCGACTGTCGTCAGTCCTCGGGCCTAATGTAATTGTGTATTAATATTAGGTACGACCGACTGTTAACAGTCCTTGGGTCTAATGTAACTGTGTATTAATATTAGGTACGACCGACTGTCGACAGTCCTCAGGCCTAATGTAATTGTGTATTAATATTAGGTACGACCGACTGTCGACAGTCTACCCAACCCCCTACTTGTACTTTTTGGATACTACCGTAAGTGAAATACTAAGAGTATCAAATGTATATTTATCTATTAAACATCTTTGTATTACTAAGCATCATTGCTATAATTACGAATCTGGTTCAAGGCTTTCGTTGGTTCCATTATATGACCCACTCAGGAGTAAATATTCACCTGGTATGGTAGTGATTGCTGTGTGTTGAGATGTAATGCGTCTTCAGCTGCTCAGACTGTATAATGCTTCCTGAGTAATTGAGATGGTTTACAGATTGATTCATATGTGATTAATAATAACGAGTAAATATTTATTATTATGTACCTTATCATATGCCTCACCGGGGGCATCATCTTTAGTCTGTCCAAGTATAAGATAATTACCAAGATCTCTGGCTACAGCAATAATACAATGACCACCAGAGACTAGAAACACTAGGAATGGGAATTCTACTCTGTGGAAAAGAAAACAGAAACATGAGATTTGTACTGGACATGGCATCCAGGTTGCCTTTGAAATGTTAACATTGGCTGAGGAAATCTATCAAAACTGAGACCATCCGCTGCAAACAGTTGACTGGTTATATGAAATCACCCCCTTCCTATTGCAATTTTACACTAACACACCCAGTAATATGTACAAGATACTCAAAACTCATCTGTTGTCATTCTTTGCTATAATATAGTGAAAACATTTCCAATAGGAGGGGCATATTTATAAGATGGATACGCAACTGGTGTGATTGGCAAAGAAATCCTAATACAAAGCTACACGAATTGCGAGATCATCATAAACTACAAAACAATCGTACACTCCAAGAAATACTGAGGATACATCCGTGACTCTACACATGTGATGTGTTGTCATGGTTACCTCTCGACCATCCTGATTGTTAAAGCATGAGCTTCCATGTGATGTACTGGAATAAATGGTAAACCTGTCTTTTTAATTACATCTTTGGAATACTGTAATCCCACAGATAGACTTAGAGCAAGCCCAGGCATTATCGTCGTGGCAACTGCAGACAAGTCCTAGAATAGTCACATAGAATAAAAGTCAGTTTATTTCCAAAATGTAACCTCATTGTATGCATCATTTAATTCCTAGACAAACTTTAAAGCAACATAGTCAACAAATTTTGCCATTTTTAAAAAGCCGTCCAAAATGACATGGTTAATTGCTGAGTTAATAACCAGTACTGTACATGTAGTCTACAGGCCTGTAGCTGGGTACCTTAGAACTGTTGTCATGTGTGCATTTATAAAATAAACACAGGTAGTCAAATATTAATGAGGCATATGTCAATCCTATGTGTAAGTTTTTGAAATGGGACGGGGAAAAATATCACATCATCGTTGTCATGGTGAACTGATCAGGCAAGCAATCTTACTATGATATTTAATGCATCTTGCTTCATCTATTGGATACAGTGAAGAGATGAGCCACACAGGGATTGAAATAGAATTTTTTCTCTGCATGCACAGTGTGCATGTTGAATTTGAAATTCACCTGCACTAACTTGTTGTGAAATGCACCACTTTTAAAGTTTTAATAAAATTTACGGGTTCTCGATCAATGTGAATACGAAAGAATTTGCTTTTTTTTTTAGTTACCTTACAATATTTGTTGAACTTAATTTAGGCTTAGTGAACATAATGAGAAAATGTTGTGTTCATTGCTACATGCACAGCGTGCACATTATATTTTGAGTTTACTTGCACTAGCTAATAATCTATGTGCATAGTGCAGTGTGCACCAGAGTATTTCGACCCCTGGCCACATACATGTAACAGTACCTAAATGTTGTCTCTGAACATTTAACTTCAATATACTGTAGAATACTTTATTTTCGCTTGGAATTTATGTTCGCTATTTTCGCTGAAGGAATGATTCCGTGAACATAAAAACTAGCGAATATACTTCTTTCCCTATATTTCACATTCAACTCATCAAAAATCAGTGAAAATAAATTCCATAAAAAATGCCCAAAAAGCCTTTTCAGCGAAAATTAAATCCAGTTAAAATAAAGTATTTCCCAGTATACATTCATATGAGGGCATGGTGTAAATGATGAATTATGAATCTAGTGTAAAAACTATTTTTCAATTCTTGCTACTGTACAGTGAATTTAATTATACTTACTAACCGTCCATTTTATGTTTGCTGCATCCATTGCATTTTGTACAACATGGTCTATATATTGTTCATGAAGTGCTTGCGCAACAGGCGGGATAATTCCACCATTTCTATTGAAAATCACATTTATACAATTACAATTTCTTTATTTACAAATTATTGTTATTACACATTTAAAGCAGCAATAGCTGTAATTATGAATCTTTTTTTCTTAAATTTTTATTTTTAATAAAACATTTCATGTGTCATTAGTGCAAATTCGAAACGTTCTACATTAAAGTGGGGGAGTTGTCACCTGCGCATGCGACAGATGGCCATAGCGTTTAATTGGAGTTTAATTAAACTCAGTACAATGCAATACAATGGAGAATTGCAATTTAATTAAGTTTAATTAAACAAGAGTTGAATTTCCCGTGACTGAACATAGAAATGTTTGCGAAGCTTAGGTTTAGTATCAAGGGAAGGTATGGTACAATTATATTAATATTAATATAAACTTAACTATACCTTCCCCCGATACTAAACCTAAGCTACGCAAAACGTATTAATAATCGAATTAACTATTAATATAAATTATGTTTTCCGAGGACTATGAAAAAGGTCCTCGGAAGGTGTGTATGTCCTCGGAAGTGCTATATATCTGTATTTTTGTCCTCGCAACATATAGCAATCCAATCGCACACACACACATTGTTTGGCAGAAAGGAGGTACTTTAATACAAAACTAGGCCTGACTACAACAGGGAAGTAAGAAATTACTGAAACTGATTCACAAAGCTGTTAAAAGTGTTACAATTCAGAAAAGGTGTGTGGGAATGGAAAAGTGGAGGGGGTTGAAAAATATAAAAGAGCCGGGTGAAAACAAAAATACTGAAGCAGACTGAGAATATGCTGCCACTAGGTGGCGCTATATACTGGTAGCTACAACAGAGATAAACTGAACAGGCAAATCTATACATAGAGCTTATGGTTCTAGACGTAAACATCCATGTTTTTACTTTAAATAACTTATATTGGCTTAATACTATTTCAACATCCACGGCGAGTAATTACACTACTTACTTTGAATGTATTTCTTTTTGTGAGTGCAAGCACTCGCCGACAATCGAGCCACATTCGTCGACAACAGCTGCGCCCGTTTCATCACAACTTGTTTCAATTCCTAAAACCAATCGCCGCCGCGTAGCTTCTTTTTTACTACTTTGATACGATCTCTTTGCTTGTGGAGTAGGGCCATCACGATCTTGGTGAACCTGTTGAGTCCGTATTATTCGCTGCAACGATAGCAACGGAGGGTATCGGCATAGTTCCACGTCACAGTGATGCCTTGAAATCGTGTGAAGGCCTCTATATTTCGAAAACGCCGAGAAAATATGTTGTTTGTAAAGGTTAATCACGTATTTTATGTGACTTTGGAAACGAAACAGATCACACGCCATACCACAGGGCGCAGCCATCTTTGATTTTTCGTGTAAAAAGCGCCACCAACCTAGTGAGGTATGCCAGTGGGATGTCTTTGTTTTTACTGATATACGAGCAAAAACATGATTGACTGAACTACAAATGTTGCATGGAGGGGAGGGGGTGATAAATCTACGTAAAGTTCACAAGAATAGCGAGACTTGTTTGGAAAGGTGGTCAAATTGATGTTAAAGTCTGTTAGAAATATCGTATTTTTTGTGAAATACCGCAATGGTAGTATTGCTGCAAAGCTTGTTAGGCGGAACGTTAGTTTGTGCATTCGGGGAGTTCTTTGATTAGACAGTAACGTTGTTTGAGAAACTCCATGAGAAAGATAAAAGGGTCTGAGTGAACCTCATATTTGATTTTAAAAAGCCAGCAAACTTGTTACAGAAATTCGTAGATTTTCCGACTACAGCCGAAATACTGCATGGATATGGCAAGTTGTTTACCAATACGCAGTTAGAAAAGTTGTTTGTATATTTATTTGGGAATGCAAAAATTTTGTCTGGAAGATCAATAAACAGCTCAATTTCTGTATCGACCGAAGCTGGACAATTGATAGGAAAAGGTTGAAACCGTGGTGTTGCTTGCTAAGGCAGAAAATGGGTTTAAAACATAGTCACTGGGAGGGCTGATAGGAGTTTTTTTCTACACTACATTGGATATAAGGCACACTCTCATTGATAAATTGCTCTGCGTCGTGTTCG